AATCCAAAGGTATCATGCCCTTCCGCTGTATTTGTATCAACTCTGTATTATCTGGTCGGTTCTAGGAATCTGCGCCATACTTATGACTGTGTTTCACAAGTATGCAACAGTTTGGTATCGGAGCAGACCAGTATTGGATGACTCACCATTAACTGATTGATTGATTGATTGATTGATTGATTGATTGATTGATTATCTTTCCTGCACTCTGTTATCATTCAAATCGCAAGTTGCAATTTTTTTTCTTTTCGTGTATTTTCGTAGGATTAGGATGTTAAATTTCGGTTTTGCGACTTTTTTCTCAATCTTGCGCAATTAGGAATTACCAATTACGGGTAAACCTAATTAGCGCTAAGTAGGGTTAAGTCCTAACCGAAAATTTAGGTTTTGCGATTTTTCTCAAATTACGCAGTTAGGAATTCCTAATTACGGGTAAAACCTAATTAGCGCTAATTAGGGTTAGTCCTAACCTAATCTAAACGACCTACCTAACCTATCGAGAGTAAGTGCCAGCCAGGCACCGCGCCAAGCAAGGCTGATCAGGCCTGAGCTAGGCCATATGCGAACTGCAACTTCACGGAACTTTCACTTTTTGCAAACTGCATCTTTGTGCGATCGAAAGATTGAATCTTTCCAGTGAATTGTGTATCTTCCTGCTAACTATCATCTCTACTATCTGAAGTGACCTCGTGATGATGCTAAAACTTCCGACGAAATTTCGTGAAATTTTCAAAAGTTATGTCTAAAATTCTCTAAATGTTTAAACTTGCGTAAACTTATTCATTTCTTTTATTGATGCAAATCTAAAATATTTCGATTACATATTTTAACCTTTGTGAATAAACGGTTGTAAAGTTAAATATTTCGTTAATCAGGTATTAAATCTTTTTGCCAAAATTAAATTTTATTAATTCCTATTTTTCGATTAAAATTTTATTTAATTTCCCAAAATTCGAAAATTCGTTCAGGGGGGGGGGGATTTTTTTCCCTTTGATTAGTACCGGACTTCGAGGTCAGGGGACACAGGGACTGTCTGTGCTTTGTGTGCCTCTCTGCCCCTCCTCCCCACCCAACCTTCTCTTCTCCTCTCGGTTCTACAAACTGCAGTCTCCGGACACGTCAGCAGAGGTGCCACATCAGCAGAGTGACAGGTCAGTACAGTGACACATCAGCAGAGGGACATGCAAGTGCCACGTCAGTACATTGCCATGTCAGCAGAGTGCCACGTCAACAGCAACGTGCAGCCGGACACTAAATGTGCCGCAGCCTATGATTGGCAGAACGTGAGTCCAAGGCAGCCAAGCCCCAACCGGGACCCAAGGCACCGCGAATCCCGTGCACCAACCAGCCCCAAGAGGCCGGTTCCACCTCCTCTCCCAGTTCAGCAGGCCGATGAACTGCTCCTAGCGTTCCTAGACCGTCTCCAGAAGTATTCCGAGACGACGGCCGCTGAACAACGCAAGTGGGAAGAAGAGGAAGCCGCCCGCCAGCAGGAGATTCAACGCCAGCTGGCAGAGGCAGAGGCAGCACGTCAGCAGGCCGAGGCAGATCAGAACCAGGCTCGTTACCAAGCCACTATGGATCTGACTCGCGATGAAGCCACCTATGGCAGGCTACTTCGCCGACAGCATTTCCACGAAACCGAAGAACGGCAAGAGCCAACCACGGAGGAAGCAGAYAAAGAAGGAATAGCAGTTCTGATGGAGAGTCTGCTGTACACATGCAATTGGCAGCAACGCGAACTGCTCGCCACGCGGCAGGTCCTCATCCGCCATGAAACAACACTCAAGGCAGTGGATAACAGGATCACGTCGCTGCAGGCCGAGAACAGGACACTACATGCCGCCAACAGCCAACAGCAGACACTCAACCACCAGCTGCAGGCAGATGTCAGCAACGGGTTGGCACAGCTGTCAGCAGCTGCGTCAACGGGCAGTGCAGCAGTCGACTGCAGCCCAGCTTTGACCGCACAGGCAAAGCGATTGGAAGAGCCGGTCAATCATTTAGTCGCATCCCTGGGCCACATCAGCAAGTTTGCAGGAGCTTCTACAGTCAGCAATCAGCTGCAGACGCTCAGGGACCGTGTTGACCAACGTCCGGTCGCTGTCGCCAAGGAATGGAAGATGCCGAACTTCAAAATTGAGAAGTTTGACGACTATCACAAGACCGATCTGCTGCAATGGTGGATGGCATTCAACGCAGAGGCCGACGTGCATCATACTCCGCCCCTACGACGGCTGGATGCATTATACCTCCAACTTATAGGCAGAGCGCAAGCATTCATGACACACATGGCCGCGACGCTTGAGTGTACCATCACCACCCTCCACACGAAGATCATGTGGGAGGAGTTTGAGAAGAAATGGAAGACCCGGTTCATGGTGAACAATGACAAGCGTCACGCCTTGAACAAGATCTTCCACATCTTCCAAGGCCAGCAACCTTCGCGGGAATGGCTGACGGAGTGGCAAAGACTCATCGCCACCCCGGAGCTGAACCTACCATTCGACTCGATCTGAGGCGAATTCTTCGCCCGATCCTGCGACGCCTTGACTGCTGCTCTCGGCAGCGAATACGAGTATAAGAACTTTGACGACATGATCGCCAAAGCCAGAGAGCTTATACAAGGTAACCGGCGTGCGGCTAATGGGACTCGTCAGCAGCCCGGTTATGTGGAGAAAGGAAAAGGTCAACAGACGCCGCAAGTAGCAGCAGTCCAGCAAGGACAAAGTGAGGACGACACAGCCGCTTCGACATCAAGTGACGGAGATGTGGCGCCAGCGATACCACCGCAACGCTCAAAACCCCGAGGGGGGAAATAGAAGGCGAAACCAGCGTCGGCGGATGGAGCACGACAGGCACCATGGACGAAGTTCGGGATTACCGAGGACATGTTCAAGTTGCGACAGAAATGGGGATGTTGTTTGTGGTGCAATAGCACCAAGCACATCACCAGTGCATGCCTCGACAAGGACAAAGAAAATGTCAAGCGTCCTGGCTCGAGAAACTGAGCACCGCGGGTRGTGCAGCGACAACACWTCCCAGTCCGCCGGAGTCGGCTGCCTTGCTAKCAGCCTCTCTCACATCCGGGSACACCGCGGCAGTCGCAAGTTCTCGCGTTGAGTACGAGAACTATGCTGTCGAGCTGGTCCCACCGTTGAACCAGCCTCTCCACGTGCAAGATTCAAGCGTATGCGCGGCAGTTCCTCCGTCGGACAATGAACCGGTGGCTTCGCCAGCCATCTTATCGGAGGATCCGTCAACTTGGGCGAGACTTGAGTATCTCGACCCGTTGACGGTTGAGGACTTCCAATGGTTGCCTCTGCCCTCCACCGGCTCTTTGCCAACTCCGCATTGCAATGCCCTAATGGCACATCTACGCGAATACTTGCACGCTGCAGTACCACCTCCGTCGACGGACGGCGGAGTAGCGGTTGTTGACCTTTGCAACTATCTTGCGAAGATCGACCGCGAGTACGCAACGAAACGGTACGTCGACATCAACGCACCGCTCCTCTACATCCGCATTCAGATCGGAAAGGCGACCTGCAGTGCCTTGATCGATTGTGGAGCGACTCGCAACTACATCAGCCAAGACTTCATGGCACGCGTCGGGCTAGGCCCGCGCGTTCGAAGGAAAAGTCAGCCTACGCACGTCACATTGGCCGATGGTCACACGCAAAAGTCAATCGACCGATGCGTTGACTCAGTGCCCGTGTACTTCGCCCCGCTAGCAAGCGAGGCCGTGTCCTTCGACATATTGGACACCAAGTTCGATATGATCCTAGGCATATCGTGGCTGCAAAGCGAAGACCATCCGGTGAACTTCCATCGCCGCACCGTTCACGTTCGTGATCGGCATGGCGAACTAGTCCCGTGTACAGTGCCGCTTCCTCATCCTTCGATTGGTTGTCACGTGGTATCCGCGGGGAGCATTCGCCAATCCATCCGGCGAAACGACATCGAGGAGATGGGCATATGTTTTCTTCACGCCCTCCCACCCGGTGATCAACCCAAGACGGATACGTCGGACCCACGCATCATTGAGCTGTTGGACAGCTATGGGGATGTCTTTCAAGCTCCCGCCGAAGTCATACCGGATTGGCCCATACGTCATGGGATCACTCTGGAGGACGGCGCCGTACCTCCGCGCGGATGTATCTACCGCATGAGCGAAGAGGAACTTCAAGTGCTTCGAGCACAACTAGACAACCTCTTGGCCAAGGGCTGGATTCGCCCTAGCTGCTCGCCATACGGTGCTCCCGTTCTCTTCGTCCGAAAGAAGAACAAGGACCTTCGGTTGTGCATCGACTATCGTAAACTCAACGCACAAACGATCAAGAACGCTGGCCCTCTCCCTCGGATCGATGATCTTCTCGAGCGACTCGGCGGCGCCAAAGTACTTCTCCAAGCTAGACCTCAAGTCCGGTTATCACCAGATCGAGATTCAGCCAAGAGATCGGTACAAGACCGCATTCAAGACGCGTCATGGGCATTTTGAGTGGATCGTCATGCCTTTCGGTCTCACCAATGCCCCGGCTACTTTCCAAGCGGCTATGACGACGGAATTCCGCGACTTGCTCGACCACTCCGTACTCATTTACCTCGATGACATCTTGGTGTATAGTCGGTCGCTGGACGAGCATCTCGAGCACCTTCGCGCTGTATTGGAGCGGCTTCGTATCGCCAAGTACAAGGCAAACCGCGACAAGTGCGAGTTGGCCCGGCAAGAGCTGGAGTACTTGGGCCATTACGTCACGCCGCAAGGCATTCGTCTGCTCGCGGACAAGTTACAAGCTATTCAAGATTGGCCGGACCTCAAGTGTACTACCGACGTCCGCTCCTTTCTCGGCTTGGCATTGTACTACATGCGCTTCGTCAAAGGATTTCAATGCATCGCTGCACCATTGTCACGACTTCAGTCCCCCTTGGTGCCTATCGAGTTCAGCGACGAGGCCCGCCATGCGTTTCACACGCTGAAGACGGCTTTGCTTCAAGCTCCCGTCCTAAGCATCTATGATCCGACGTTGCCTACCAAAGTGACTACGGACGCTTCCGGTTACGGCATTGGCGCAGTTTTGGAACAGCATGACGGCACAGACTGGCATCCGGTTGAGTATTTCAGCCAAAAGGTGCCGCCCATCAACACTCTTGATGATGCGAGGAAGAATGAACTCCTAGCTTTTGTCTCCGTACTTAAGCGTTGGCGTCACTTTCTCCTCGGGCGTCGGCGATTCACGTGGGCAACAGACAACAATCCGTTGACATATTACAAGACGCAAGACACGGTGAGCAGCACGATCGGTCGGTGGATGTATTTCATTGACTAGTTCGACTTCACCTCCAAGCACATTCCGGGCTCCTCGAACAAGGCGGCAGATGCTCTCTCGCGAAGACCCGATCTTTGCGCCATGGTACACTCCACGTTCGGCCTCGACGAGGACCTCCAACAACATTTCATGAACGGCTACAAGTCGGATCCGGGATTCTCCACACTCTACGCGGACTTATCATCGGACCAACGGTCGGCAAGCAATTATCGCATCATCGACGGCTACTTGCTCCTCCATACGCGAGGCAAGGACTTGTTGTGTGTTCCCCAAGACCGCATCTTGCGCACTCGCCTCCTTGGCGAATACCATGATTCGCGGTTGGCAGGACACCTTGGCGTCGCACGCACACTTGCACGACTCCGCCAGCGTTTTCACTGGCGGGACATCATCAACGACGTCAACCGGTACATTCAGTCATGTGCAGTTTGCCACCGGAATATACGGCACCATCAGCTCCCTTACGGCGAACTGAAACCATTGCCGATACCGCGGGCACCAGGTCTCTCCATTGCTATGGATGTGACCGGTCCTTTCCCTCGCGATCGCCTTGGTCATGATGGTATTCTCACGGTCGTTGACCGTTTGAGCAAGTACGCTTGATTTCTTCCATGCAAGTATCATGCGACGGCTCCCGAGCTCGCACGACTTTTGCATACCGGCTGGTTTTGCAGCCACGGTGTTCCGGAAGACATCGTTAGCGACCGTGACACTCGTTTCATGTCGGCCTTTTGGACGGCACTCATGGTGGAATCCGACACCAACATGAAACCGAGCTCCGCACGACATCCTCAAACGGATGGGCAGACGGAACGTGCACACCGGACTGCGCAGATGATGCTCCTCACACTCATCCGCCCGGATCAGAAGGACTTGGTTGACCGCCTTCCTGACATCGAGTTCGCCTACAGCACTTCGGTGCACCCGACGATTGGCGTGACTCCATTCGAGTTGCACCACGGTAGACGGAAAGGACGTATCTTCACAGACATTTTGCTTCCACGGGCTGCCGATATAGAGGCAGCTTGCTACCCAGCTTCTACACGGAAGTACAGGGAACTGCTGGCCAAAGCCCACGCTAACATGCAAAAGGCTCAGGTCCGTATGCAGCAGCAAGCGAACCGGCGTCGCATCCCATGTCCAATTCGCGCCAGCGACCTAGTTTGGGTCACCTCCGAGGAATTTGCGCTCGAGCAGGACGTCTCGCGCAAGCTCCTCCCGAAGTGGTTTGGACCATGGATGGTCACTTCAGCAGCTGGCGACGACCCCGCGGGTCCATCATTCATCATTGAGATTCCCCCGCATTTGGCGGTACACCCGATCTTTCACGCTTCGAAGCTGGCGGTTTACACTCCAGCCTCCGCAGCGGACTTCCCGGGCAGACGGTCACAGGACCCTCCTTCAATGGATGGCCATCAGGAGGTCGACCGGGTTCTCACGCATCGCAAGTATGGCAACAAGCCAATGCAGTACAAAGTTACATTCAAGCAATGCGATCCAAATGACACACGCTGGATCTCAAGAGCTGATCTGAAGGCATCAACACCCCTCATCTTCGCGCATTATGAAAAACAACGACTTGCTAAGGAAGCTGCCCAACCTGCCCTCCCTGTACGGACATCGGACAGACAGCTTCGCCCTCGCAGTTAGCTCGGTCCTTCAAGGGGAGGAGTGTGTGGCATACTGAGCCACTCGGGCGCCAGTTAGGGCCCAGTTCCAAGACAGGCAGGGTTAGCCTAGGGGACACCGGTTCAGATGAGGCTCAAAAGGGCCTGGACCACGGCGGTTCAGGCAGGCCCAGGCCGAAC